AGAAAACGGTCTGAGAGGGCAGCACTCGATGATTGGAGGGCCGTAATAGTTGGTGGCACGATCCCCTCGACATTACCCAGTCGGCGGGAAGGCACCGCGAAGCAACGATCGCGGAGTAAAACAATGAGACGTAGACAAATTGGGTTGCGTGCTCGAAACAAGTTGGCACAGCTATCGCCAAACAGTCGTGGGATCCCGGCAAATGTTGCTCGATTGCCCCGGGAGCCTCGAAAACTTCTCTCTCTCTCGCTCTCTCGCTCTGTTCTTTTTGCTTTTCGCCGCCGTCCGACGCTTGGAGTTTCCAGCCGGAGCGAAGAAAGGAGAGGAAAACTGACGAGAGCGTCTCGTTGAATTCGATTCTAACCGAGTTAAAACGCGGCGGAACGCGCGCGGACGAGGACGCCCCGGGAGACTCTCGCTTCTCTCCGGCACGAAGCCGGTCTTTCCGCCCGATATTTTCCTCGAGCGTGACACTCCGTCTCCGAGAACGTCCACGCGAGCTCCGCGCACCCTTTAATCCGCTTCGACCCTCCCGTTCCCGACGTGTCCGCTTTCCTCCAGCGGACAAATTCCGCGAACCTTCCTCGACGCGCGACGGTTTTACAATTTGGAAATTATTATATTATTATATTATATATTATTACATATATAATAATATATTACATATATTATTACATATATTATATTATATTATATTATATAATTATTATATTATTATATTATATATTATTACATATATTAATATATTGTTATATATATATATTATTATATTAAAATTACGAGAGAAATCGAGAGGACGAAAGCGTGATGAAAGCGCGATCGAAGCTCTTTTCGCAGCAATAGGTACAATCACGGTCTCGAAGGTACCTATTACTGCGGCGATATTCGGCGAGAAGCTTCGGTGGGGTTTTTTTCGGGGTTTCTCTCTCGCCGAGGCGAGTCCTCGAGGTTCCGCGAGCAGATTTCTCGTCGGCTTGTTAAATCCAAGGGTGAGAAGCCATGAGAAAAAAGCCGGGAAGGTCTCCGGGATCCGCCCTCTTCCGCACTTTTGACTTCTTCGCCGCGGCCAGGGACACACGCGAGCTGACAAAGGCCGGCTTGAATAAACCGGAAACCCGCTCCATCGTCGCCTTCCTCTCTCTCTTTGTCACCCTTACCTGTTCCTCCGACGAACCATGTTCCACGGACTGACCGCGCGGACGTATATATATGTATGTATGTATGTATGTATGTATGTATATTCTGCGCGCGTGTTTATGCGGCCCGCTTTCCGCGCGATTTGATACAAATTGTGGGACCATTGTGCGCCCGGAGAAATGTCGTCCATTTGTCGGCGATTCGAAATTGGTAGGAATGATGCCGTGCACGGTGGGAGATCGCGTTCACTTGGCTACTTTAATTAGGTAGGGAGGGGTGTCTTGTGTTTTGGCACTGTTAATCCGGTGACAATTTTATAATTGATGAGGTTTTGGGATAAGGTAGAAAGAGTTTCCGTGCGAATGAATTTAAGGCGATATGCGGACGTGGAATATATATTGCGATTTGCAAAATGGCAGTAGACTCGTGTTATTAAATTTGTATTATATTATAATTGTATCATAATTATATTATATATCACAATTGTATTATAATTATATCGCAATTATATTACAACTGTATCATAATTATATTATACATCACAATTATATTACAATTGTATCATAATTATATTATATATCACAATTATATTATAATTGTATCATATATATATATATTATATTATATTATATTATATTATATTATATTATATATTATATCATAATTATAGTATATACCACAATTGTATTATAATTATATCACAATTATATTATAATTATACCATAATTATAGTATATACCACAATTGTATTATAATTATATCATAATTATGTTATATATCACAATTGAATTATAATCATATCATAATTATATTATATATCATTAACAATTCATTGTAAAATATAATTTGATTTCTAACCTTAACATAAGTATACAAATAACAGCGAATAATTGCAAACAAGCGAATAAGACCTGCAGAAAGGTCTAATTTGATTTGCAGAACAACGAATACGATCCACGAAAAGATTAATTTTTTGCTGTCTAAATCTATATAAATAAACGAAAAAACGTGACCGATTTTCTGTAAATAGCACGATAGGAATATAATTATAATCTCGCGTTTCACCCATTTCTGTCTAATTATAACAATCATGTTCCCTGCTCGCGCGCAAATATTTTATCAAATCGACTGTTAATTGACGGCAAAATAAGGGATAAAATTTTGAGCACACGTATTTTGACAGCATATGCTTTCCTATGCACAAAATCTCAAAAATGTAANTATATATCACAATTGTATTATAATTATATCACAATTATATTATAATTATACCATAATTATAGTATATACCACAATTGTATTATAATTATATCATAATTATATTATATATCACAATTGAATTATAATCATATCATAATTATATTATATATCATTAACAATTCATTGTAAAATATAATTTGATTTCTAACCTTAACATAAGTATACAAATAACAGCGAATAATTGCAAACAAGCGAATAAGACCTGCAGAAAGGTCTAATTTGATTTGCAGAACAACGAATACGATCCACGAAAAGATTAATTTTTTGCTGTCTAAATCTATATAAATAAACGAAAAAACGTGACCGATTTTCTGTAAATAGCACGATAGGAATATAATTATAATCTCGCGTTTCACCCATTTCTGTCTAATTATAACAATCATGTTCCCTGCTCGCGCGCAAATATTTTATCAAATCGACTGTTAATTGACGGCAAAATAAGGGATAAAATTTTGAGCACACGTATTTTGACAGCATATGCTTTCCTATGCACAAAATCTCAAAAATGTAATACAATATATAATAATATTTATAGTAACAATATAAATTAGATAATAATATAATTAAAATAGCTTCGAGTGCAAAGCGTTAACACAAAGCTACACACGATAACCTTGACGCAGTCTCGACGCGACAAAGTCTAATAATTACCTGCGCGCTTTCGTCCTCGAATTAGCCGTTGTAACGTAGTCGCCCCGTTGTAACGGAGTCGCCCCGTTGTAACCCGGAATGCACAGCGAGGAGTAAATAACGATCGTGACGACGCGACGGTGCGCCCGAGGACGCTTTTAACCCAGTTTCGAGTATCAATAGATCTTGATTGCGAGAGCAGGATGTACGGGGAGGGAGGAGGGTAGGGGCGGTGAGTGGCCCCTAAAATCGACAGGGAGAGAGGCGAAGGGGAGGGTGAGGAAAAAAATCGAAATGACACAGTAAAAGCACCGCTAATGCTCTTTCGCATTAACACTCGACGCCGGAGAGTATGCTCTCGGTGTAAAAAAGCTCTGATCGATGGAGCGACCGGATTGGTCGGCCAGCGGCGAGGGCTGAAATCAACCCCCGAAACACTCCGCCGTCGGGATCCTAGGCACCCCGGCGCCCGGATTGGCCGGCCGTAAGCTCCACCCCGTGGAAACTCACCCCACCGTCCGCGACGCCAGCAGTAGATCGTCGCCTCGGCCGAGCAAGGACTGCCCGCCGCCGCCGTCGCTTTTCGATTCACGATATCCTTCGAGCGTTTCTCATTTCAATAAATTCCCTGCTCAACGTTCTGCGCTATATGCCGCGCTCTTGAATCCGAGTGTACCCGCCAGTCTTCGCTCTCTTCGCGACGCTTCTCTGTTTTCTTCTCGTGCGTCGATCGACGAGCGCGCGCGTCGAGCACGCGCGTCGAGCACGAAAATTCTAAGATACGCCAATGCGATCTTCGGGGCGTCTTTGCGTCTTTGTTGTTATTGTCTTCTCGTGATTTTTGGAAATGGTTAAACGATGGGACTTTTTGAATGACGGTTTGGACGACACGCGTCGTTTGCGATGATGCAATCTTGCGCCGAATGGAAGATTCGTTGTTGAATGGTTGGATTTTTTATATTTGAATCAGAGTGCGAACTGTTTTTACATTCGGTGAAATAATGGTTCTAAATGGTACTTCGTACTAGATACATTGAATGAATTATAGTAATTTGTCTCTAATTGACGCGAAGATTGCGCACGAAAATGGTGCCTTGGGTCTTGTTTTTATGGTTGTTGGCAATCGGGGATTATGAGATAAATAATGTAAAAATACTGTAAGAAATGCTGTTGGAAAATAGTAAATACAGCAAATATACTAAATATAATAGTAAATATAATAATATAGTGGAAATACTATGAGAAATACTATAGAAAAATACTAAATATACTAAATATAGTAATTAATGTAATATATAATAATATACTAAGAAATACCCTTAAAAGCGACGCCCTCAATTATCAACCGAATAATCATTTAAACTCGTCCCTCCCCCACTTCCCTCCGCTTCATAAAACGCGAAATAGAGCACACGTTCACTCCTCGAAATCCATATTTTTGTCCAAATCCAGACAAATAAAGCGACGAGCAATTTCATCGCGTATTCGCGAGTTCGGGGACTCTGAACGATTCCGCGCAGTTCCAAGCAACAAAGCGTCCGAAGTAATCGCAATATCGGCCAGAAAATCGGCAGAAACGTCGCGAGTCGTTCAACCCCTCGGTCTCTTCGCCCAGGAACGTTCGAGAGCGAAGCCGACGACGAGGAGTCTCGGCGTGACCGCGGGGCGCGCGGGGGTTGATCGCTCTTATTCACGCTAAGAAATTGATTTCCGTGCACGAGGTCCGAAAGGGATGATCGACTGGCGTCGCAGTCGTCGCTGTAAATCGGCCGTGGAGAAATTCTGGAGCCGGTCCGCGGAGCGCCGGGCTGCGGCTCGCAGAGGGGTGGACTGTCGCGCGGCCAGGCCACGCGGGGTGAGCGCCGGAATCTCCGCCCCTGGCGAAGAGATCCGCCCTCGGGTTCGAGGGTGCTTGACGGCCGAAACGGCGCGGAGGTAGGGAACACTAGCCGTCAAGTGCTCGTCGAGGACACTCAAAAACTACAAGGGAGAGAGAGCGCCCTTCAGCCGCTGGGAGAGAAGGACTCCTCTTCGCTGTGTCCGGCGACCGGGTCCGTGTCCCATCGCCCGACTCTCTCGGCTCTCGACGATTTTCCACGGATTTAAAAAAACAACAGAAAAAGGAAACAAGCAAGAAGAATTCGCGGAGCGAAGATTTACGAGGCCGATCGCGAGGTGCCTCGTTCTCTTATCCGCGGACGCGTCGTCGCCTTCGCCGATGGAAACCGGGCGGATTGTTCGCCGGAGTCCGAGCCGTTTCTCCGCGTGTTCTGTGCCTGGACGATGAATTCGGCAGGATGCACACGGTGACGATTTGTGAATAAACAGTGTGAACCGTGTAATCGATGTTGCTGTGATTTAGTGAAGCACTGACGGACACGGACGGACGAGGTAGAGAAAACGGGACGAAAGTGGAACACGAGTGAATTAGTAAAGAAGGTACGAGAGAGAGAGAGAACGGCGAACGAAAAGCCACAGTAACTCTGTGTATAGGAAACGACAAAAAAGAACGAAATAGAATACTAACAAGCAAAAATAACAAGCAAATATCAAAAGTAAAAGTAATTGACGAGAGAAAGAGAGTGTAAATGATAGAGTTCGAATGCGAGGGAAAAGAATATAACGAGCGAAGCATTTGAGGACGTTCGCTAAACATGTACTGACGCCGCTAAAACACCTCTCCGAAACCCTTTCAAAATGGCGGACAAGAATAAGATTCTGCCCTGGTCGCTGCTATCCTATCCGACCAGTCTCTTGAATCACGTCTGGTACAGCCACCTTGCTTTCAATAATAGGTAAACGAACTAACAAAACCGCATACACCGCGTTTTACACCGCCGACAGCTTTTGTTATTTTGTTACACGCGCACACACACAGACACGGACACACTCCGGCGCAATGTTTTATCGGCTGGAAACCTGTACGAGGACCCTCTGTCTCTCTCGCATGCGTTTTTATTTTTTTGATTGGTGTATGCTTTTCGGTGGGATCGAGCGCGCGGCGAGATCGACGGACGCGTGGAATCACGACCAAGATCTTTTCTTCGAGGATTAAATTTTTTTCCTAATTTGTGCTTAAATTGCGCACGGAAATGGACGATTTGGGAGGCGGGATTATTTGAGCCTCGCGGCGAGCTTTTATAGTTTGGCAGTCGATGAAATAATATTTCAAAATAGTTGTTTGTTCAGGCGTCGAGTGGATTATAGCTGTCTCTTATACACATCTAGATGTGTATAAGAGACAGGCTTTTATAGTTTGGCAGTCGATGAAATAATATTTCAAAATAGTTGTTTGTTCAGGCGTCGAGTGGATTATAGCTGTCTCTTATACACATCTAGATGTGTATAAGAGACAGGCTTTTATAGTTTGGCAGTCGATGAAATAATATTTCAAAATAGTTGTTTGTTCAGGCGTCGAGTGGATTATAGCTGTCTCTTATACACATCTAGATGTGTATAAGAGACAGGCTTTTATAGTTTGGCAGTCGATGAAATAATATTTCAAAATAGTTGTTTGTTCAGGCGTCGAGTGGATTATAGCTGTCTCTTATACACATCTAGATGTGTATAAGAGACAGGCTTTTATAGTTTGGCAGTCGATGAAATAATATTTCAAAATAGTTGTTTGTTCAGGCGTCGAGTGGATTATAGCTGTCTCTTATACACATCTAGATGTGTATAAGAGACAGGCTTTTATAGTTTGGCAGTCGATGAAATAATATTTCAAAATAGTTGTTTGTTCAGGCGTCGAGTGGATTATAGCTGTCTCTTATACACATCTAGATGTGTATAAGAGACAGGCTTTTATAGTTTGGCAGTCGATGAAATAATATTTCAAAATAGTTGTTTGTTCAGGCGTCGAGTGGATTATAGCTGTCTCTTATACACATCTAGATGTGTATAAGAGACAGGCTTTTATAGTTTGGCAGTCGATGAAATAATATTTCAAAATAGTTGTTTGTTCAGGCGTCGAGTGGATTATAGCTGTCTCTTATACACATCTAGATGTGTATAAGAGACAGGCTTTTATAGTTTGGCAGTCGATGAAATAATATTTCAAAATAGTTGTTTGTTCAGGCGTCGAGTGGATTATAGCTGTCTCTTATACACATCTAGATGTGTATAAGAGACAGGCTTTTATAGTTTGGCAGTCGATGAAATAATATTTCAAAATAGTTGTTTGTTCAGGCGTCGAGTGGATTATAGCTGTCTCTTATACACATCTAGATGTGTATAAGAGACAGGCTTTTATAGTTTGGCAGTCGATGAAATAATATTTCAAAATAGTTGTTTGTTCAGGCGTCGAGTGGATTATAGCTGTCTCTTATACACATCTAGATGTGTATAAGAGACAGGCTTTTATAGTTTGGCAGTCGATGAAATAATATTTCAAAATAGTTGTTTGTTCAGGCGTCGAGTGGATTATAGCTGTCTCTTATACACATCTAGATGTGTATAAGAGACAGGCTTTTATAGTTTGGCAGTCGATGAAATAATATTTCAAAATAGTTGTTTGTTCAGGCGTCGAGTGGATTATAGTTAATTTTTCCTAATTTGTGCTTAGATTGCGCACAAAAGTGGATAATTTGGGAAACGGAGATACAACTGTTGTTCGAGCTTTGCGCTTCGATTTTATAGTTGTTAGCAATCAATGAAATATTGACAAAATATTTCCGAATAGTATTTTGTTCAGACATTAAATGAATTGCAGTGAATTCTCCCTAATTAGCACTCCGATCGCCCACAAAAATACACAAAAATAGACAATTTGTGAAAAAGAGCCCCGATTATTCGAGCCTTATACCTCGTTTTTATAGTCGCCGATCGTCAACAACTACAAACATTCGCCCCAAAACTCGAACAATCGTGTCTCCTCTTCCCAAATTGTCCATTTTTGTGCGCGATCGAAGCGCTAATTAAGAAGAAATTAACCGTGCACGCAAAAAGCGTTGAAAACACAAGCGAGATAAATTATAAAGTCACTGTAAAAATCAACTAAACGCCGCGCTATCTTAACAATAAATTTGGTCGATGAACGATGTCCATAGTTAACAAATAATAAACATATTATTAAACAATAACATTGTCCTTAGTTTCTCGCGATGTGGAAACTGTGACTTTCGTCGTTGCGATTCCGAGCCACTCGTACATACACGCTAGTGCAAGCTATATTAGTAACTATATATATATATAATAGCAAGCATATATATTAATAATAACATTTTTAATCGTTTTCGGAACCGGTTTATCGCGAACGATCAAGGTTCGCACGTGTCCTTAGCATTAAAATCGCCGGCGACCGTAACGTGCAATTGATTCGACACCGATAACAAATCATATCGTAGATTCCGTTTGTTTTCTTCTCGGGGGCAGCAACGTAACGAGCGCGTGTTCAGCGACGGATTCGCGGGCGCACATAATTTTACCGATTACATATACCGATACAGCTACAGTAATTTCTCCCGGAAATGCCAAATTTCTGGCTGTTGTGAATTGTTTTCTTTATTTTGTTAGTTCTACGCCTATGCGATTTATTGCTACGTCGATGCTAAGGGTCGGCGGAGATAATACGATGCGAAATTAATAAGACGATATAAAATGGCCTGTTTGGCTTCGAATCGCGACACGTGGCCTCTGAACTGCCTTCGAATCTAGGCCGTAAGTTAGAAATAAAAAAGTTGAGTCGAGTTGAGTCAAGTTATAAGTCAAGTTAAGTCGAGTTAAGTCAAGTTTAGTCGAGTTAGGTCATGTTAAATCAAGTTATAAGTCAAATTAAGTCGAGTTAAGTCAAGTTAAGTCAAGTTAAATCAAGTTAAACGAAATTATAAGTCAAATTAAGTCAATTTAAGTCACGTTAAGTCAAGTTAAGTTAAATTATTTTCATTTTAACACACACCAGCACGCTGGCCGCCGCCTTATTTTCGCCGATTGCCCCGAGTTTCTGTGAAAATCAGCCGCGAGACTCTAATAATCGCACTTAGTATTCTCAGATTTACTGGTATCAGTTCCGACGCTCGAACATATCCGCGAGAAATTACTGTAATCGGGCGGAAACGCGACTCGATAAATACCCGCGCGTCCCGTCGAAGTCACGCGCAATAATTCGTCGGTCTCTCGAGATCGGCGAACGATTACCACGCGGCAGATTTATCGTGGAAACGATCGCGAGACACCCCAACGCAGTCTGTCTTCTATACTCGTTGACGAGACAGATGATTTCTGATGATCGGATGATTTCTGAGAAGAGAAGAACTATCTTCTCCGACGGAAGAACGATTCGATGTTCGCCGAACCGCGAGGAAAATGCAGTAATTTATAATAAAAACCTTAGATGTTTTCTAGATCTTTCTTTTTCTATTCTCTTAGATCTTTCTTTTCCTATTCTCTTAGATCTTTCTTTTCCTATTCTCTTAGATTTTTCTTTCCCTATTCTCTTAGATCTTTCTTTTCCTATTCTCTTAGATTTTTCTAATCACTGTCGACGAGATTTTTACGGTTGTCGACAATCGATAATTGCAAAAACGTGCATCGACGCGCAAATTGTCCACTATAATGCGCAAGCTGATAATACAATTAGGGAGAATTTACAGTAATAATAAAAAGTAATAAAACGTTAATTTCGTTTCTCCAAAAAGAAAAAGTTGCGGATCAGTTTGACCAAGTTCGACAACGAAGTTGTCGTTCACATTATTTATATTAGAACGAATTCCGTGCTACGAGCCGCCGAATGCATAATTTATTCAACAATAATCCCCGTTTGTTTATCGTTCTCTCTCTCGGCACGAAAGAAACATCTCGGCGACGATTGACACAAAAATTTCAGCCGTTCAAGGGAGGATGAAGTCGGTCTCGATAACGGTCCCGATTCGGATCCGATCTCGCGATTCGCGCTCGATGACTATGGCACACGATCATCGCTTCGATATCGCGGTACAATAACCGAGGACTTGGAAAAAACTACGACGAACCGATTAACGAGATAAAGGAAGAGCAGGCGACGGCGCGGTTGAACGATAAAAGAAGGAACAATGCGTCGAAGAACAAAGCGTATCTTCGAACGGATTCTGTCGCGTCTATAGAAAATTATAGAGAATGATAACGACGATTTGCGAGTATCTGGGGGAAAAAAGAAATTATTATTAAAGAAATATTGGTGATTTTATGGTAGACGCGACAGGACATTCCAAGATTATGTACAGTCATTTCTCTAATTCGCGATCAGAGTGCGCTCAAAAGTGGACAATTTGGGAAGATATTAATAATTAATATTATTATTAATATTAATTATTGTAAAAACGAGCCGCATTATTCGAGCCGCTCGAACAATCGTATCTCTTCTCCTCGAATTGTCCATTTTGGTGCGCAATCCGCGCGCGAATTAGAGAGAAATTACCGTACAGATTACATTTCGCGGCATACAAGTCGTCATTCTTGAAAACTCTCACTCACGTCGCTGTGATTCCGAGCGTTCCTCTCACGCGTTTTAAAGCGCTCTCTTCAGGTTCACGCCGAGCCGCGCGCAGCAGCTTCGACGACGAGCTTTCGTCGAACATCTCCGTCGTGTAGGTGTGTTTCGTTCCGCCGGCAAAATTAGACAATTTTCGAGAACTTGTTTCATTAAAATCTTGTCTACTCCACCGGAACTTCTTTCATTAAACCCAGCGCCGTTCCGCGAAGCTGGTATACCGCGTTTCTTCCGCGATCGAGCAAAAGTTGCGACGGATCTGACGAAGTTCCGCGGGTCTAATCGCGATACGGCGTCTTCGCAGAGAAAAAAAGAAGAGTAATCCTACAAAATTGCCAGTTTCTGGTCCCTCGATTTTACAGCTGTATCTTGAAAGCTTGATGATGGAAAATGATGAACCTATACCTTTCACGGTATACTAATTATTGAGGTACTAATATTAATTTCAATGTTAATGATTAAATTCGGAAATATTGCTTTGGATTTGAGGAATCCTGTCACGATTATTTACTGTATAAATTTGTAATATTTTCGCGGATGTTGAACTATGATTGCTGTACCTGATTGGTGAAATTTTGAAATTCTAAATTCTGAAATTTTAAATAAATTATTTATATAATATTATATAATATTATTATTTTATTATTATGTTATATATAATATTATTATTTTATTATTTTAAATAAAATTGCCAGCTCGACCTTTATTTATATCAAATAAATTATCTGTTCAACTTATCGAGTAAAATAAATTTTACTCTACCATTTATTTTATATTGAAAATTTATTATCCGCTGAGAATTCGTTTTATTCGACGTGGCAAGTCATCGTCCGGCAGAAAATTCGCTGCGAAAGTCGCAGGGCCCAGATGAAGGCCTCAACATTGGGACTACTCTTTCGACAGCCGTCGCATTGAAGAACGTCGACGGTCGTTCGGACTCGATTTGTAGAAACTCTGGGACAGGCCCGGGGGCCTTATTCATCGGAACGCCGGAACGTGCCGCGATAATAGGTCGTTTGGCTTAAACTGGGAAGCCGGGCGTTCGCTTCTGTATCGGGGACAGGTTGTTTGGCAGGAAAACTGCAGGTATCCACGGAACGGCCGGTCCCTCGGCGGGAAAGACGCGGCTAATCGGGTTTTAACGGGCCGGTTAGCTTCTTGACGCTCGCCAACGCCAAGCCGCGCCGTTTCCCAAACAACGGCACAACATTCGAAATTGGATTAATTTGCTCGGAGACCCGAGCTTTGTCTGCGACTTCTCGACTCGCGGCGCCCCTCGCCTGGAACCTGCTTTCAATACACAGAATATCCCAAAATCATGGTACTTCCGGGAAATGAATTCCCGAGCTCATTCGAAGCAACTTTTTCCTTTACAGAAATTCTCTCCGAGCCGTCGTTTGCGAGTTATTAACGAAAAACAGTGACCAATCGAAGAGCAAGCGCGGTCGGCGCTCCGCCCTCGTGAGTCGCGTCGGCCGTATGACTCAGCGGCGGTGGCCGCGAGGGCGGAGCGTCAACCGTACGCGTTCACTCGTTGGTCACTGTTTTTCGTTGATAACTCGTAAACGAAGCGGCAGATTAAATTTTCGCAAAGGAAAAAGTTGCTTCGAATGACCTCAGGAACCCTTCATTTCCAGAAAATGTCATAATTTTGGAATACTTCGTGTATATACCTGGCTATGAAGCTCTTATTTCTCCTTCGTTTTCATTTTTCGCGTAAACGTTTACCGCTTCCCTCAAACACGAAACAACTTTCTTATGCACGGCGCCATTTATTCTCTAGAAAAAGCACTCTTCGCTGTAATTCGGCTCCACTCTCGCTGCATGGTGCAAGCTAGTTTTCGGCGATCATCGAGCAGGCATCCGGTCGATGTTTATATAGATCAGATGCGTAGTTTGTGAGACAATAGGCTAGTTAATTGGCCAAACAATAGGCTAGTAATGCGCGCCTAATTTATTCATACCAAATCATAGAAGATCGACTTTTGGAGAATGCAAATTCTGTGAATTTTTCGCAATAATTCCGGCTCCGATTCGCCGCGAGATTTTTTCACGATCGTTCATTTTTCACTAAGTTTATTTTTTAAAGCGCCCGGTATTTAGTGGAATGCACGATGAATGTTAGTTCGCCGGCAAAAGCGATCCGAGCGTTGCTTTTAACGCGTTCTTTCTTCTGTTCTAGAATTTTGGAGAGCATAAAAATGCCCCGGACCAGTTTCCACATCCATGACATCCTTCAGCTCGACTCGAAGCCGTCTCAGGAGGAAGCGGACGTCCAAGGTAATCAGGATAAATAATATACAGGGTGTCCCAAAAATGTCTCGCAATCCGAAAGTGGCGGGTTCCTCGGGTCATTCCGCCAATGAGCGGAACTGGGCTTCGCACGCTGGTTGGCTGGGCCGCCTCGCGTCAGCCGTACTCGATTCTTATTGGCGCACTGTTTTTCGTTGATAACTCGTTAACGGTGCCTCGGAGAACATTTTCGCAAAGGAAAAAGTTGCTCCAAATGATCCGAGAAACCCGCCGTTTCCGGATTGCGAGACATTTTTCGGACATCCTGTAAATGATTGTCCGTTCGCGGGCGTCGAAGCTCTCGCTTCGTTCGACGCACCGGCTTGCGAAAGCTTCGTTGCCACAGTTTTCGAAACATTTCGGTGCAGGTAGCACCACCGTTCTGCCGAACGCGAACGATGTCCCGTCGGCGTATCAGCAATTCTTCGAGCACACGCAGGCCATGCTGCAACCGGCGTTGTACGCGAACTTAAACAGAGGGACGCTGCCTCCGCCGCCACCTGGTCTTCTCGGATGGCCGGCTGGACCGACGCTGCCGACTACCTTGCCTCAGCCTTTGGAAGAAGTGAACGGTGAGTAAATGATTCACTGATTCGCCTTTGCACCGTTTCGATGACGGGGGGATTCCAGGGGGGATTGTTCCTTCGATTCCGAAAGCAGTCTTTTTTTAAATGACTTTGCTTTTAGCAAACTTTAGCAAAGTATTTTAGCAATATTTATTCAGCGAGATTTAGCAAAATATTTTTGCAAACTTTAGCAAAGTATTCTAGCAAAATTTATTCAGCAAAATTTAGCAAAATTTAGCAAAGTATTTCAGCAAAATTCAGCCAAATTTCGCAAAATTAATTCCCTTCGCTTTCTACAAGATATCCATTTATTCAATACAATAACAACCCTTACGGAAAATCTGCAAAAATCGGAACGAATCCGCTACCTGTGCGATCCGGCAACCGCAGCATCCCCGAGCACCCTTTTTCTAACCGCGCAAGCACAGGGTGCAAGAGATCTCTGCTCGATTTCTAACATAACCAGAAAACAGAGAAGGGTGAGAGAGTTGAAAGAGGAGAACACGAGGAGACGAGATAAGGAGAAGGAACCGTGAAAAGAGGCGGCAGAGGCTGCCGGAGGATTTTTTGGGCGTGACGGTCCCGATTCATCGTGGCCGTACAGGGCGACACGCATCTGTCCTCGAAAGGACATCTGTCCTCGTATACGGGCCAATCGGCGCGCAGGGGCCACAAGGACCTTTTTATAGGACCATTAGATCCTGCTTAGCCGGGGCGGACCAATTGTAGGGTGTTAAATGAATAAGGGTTAGAGGACGCGTCCCCTCTTCTGGCAACGGATATTTGCGAATCGCGTGCTTCCACCGCGACGACAGGGGATGCTTCTGATTCTTGCGGAGAAGATCGCGTCGGAATCGCTTCGGCATCGGTAACGGGGAGAATTTGAAAGAATCGACGTGAAAAAAGAAACATCGAAGGGCTTGGACGAGCAGTAAATTCGTCGTAATTTTCATTTCCAAGCGAGATTTTCATTTCATTTCGATCGAGCAAAATATAGCTAAGTGTTTTTTAGCAGAATTTATTCGGCAAAATTTAGTAGAATATTTTGGCAAAATTTATTCAGCAGAACTTAGCAAAATTTATTCAGCAAAGCTTAGCAAAATTTATTCAAATTTTGCTGAAATACTTTGCAAAATTTTGCCGAATATACTCTGCTAAAATGTTCCGCTAAATTTTGCTAAATTAATTTTAGATAATAATATAAATTTACCAACAATTCACCCTAATTACCGTCAACCAAATTCTTAAATGAAATCGTTTACTCGAATCAATTAAATTAAATTGATATCGCGCATCGGAACAGCGATAATAAACGCGACGCGACGCGACGATCGCGGATCACTATGCCGGCCTTAATCCACCAATATTTTGATTAGCCTCTCGCTAAAGTGGCAAATACCACGGTGGCCGGTAGACACGGTAATTTAATGTACATCGACGAGTTCCCTCCGCGCCGGCGGGCACACAATAACGCTTTTGTGAGCGATTCCCGGGGGCCGGTTTGGGGAGGGTGCGAAGAAATATATACAGCCTGTTTGATGCCACCCCGATCTAGCTATACACCCCATGGGATCAACGTTGTATTATTTTCATGGAAGATTAGGCCTCGACGACACCAGTCCCGTGATTTCAATTAGGTTTCGTTGCTTCGGTTTCTCTTGCGGTGATCGTCGATTACGACGACGTTCGAATGAATATATATAAAAAATAGAAACGATAAAAGGGTTTTGTTAGTTTAATGCTGATAAATATGACCGCGAATCTTTGGGCAAAATAAATATTGTCTCCGACAAATGCAAGAAATGCGAGATGAACGAGAACGAATTTCTTTTCTTGACAGTCGAACGACGAATTGTTTTTACAAAAATGTGACTCGTTGTGCTTGTATTATATCTATATTTTTTATTATCTATATCTGCGTATATTATATTTATATGTTATATATTTATTAATTTATATTTATTTATTATTTATGCAATATATATAATATATTATTATATTTATATTATACTATATTATATAATGTATAATATAGTATATATAATATATAAATATAATACTATATTATAATATAATATAATTATATAATATATAAATATAATACTATATTATAATATAATATAATTATATAATATTTATTCTATTATATATTATATACAATAGATATAATATAAATATATAATAATAGAAACATATAATAATATATCGGATCGAATAGACACAAATAATTATTATTCACGGTGTCGTTAAAACGTCCCGACGCCGATGACGTCATTAGAGAAATGACGCGAGCAAATCGCAGCTGCACTTTTAACTACCCTTCGATTCTTAATAATGATTGCCGACAGATGCGGGCTCGCATCGATTTCCTTCTGTCTTGCTAGCTCATTCTTTATCGTTCATACTTCAGCTTGCAGGTGTTAAGAGACTTTTATTATATAATTAGTCTCCCTAATTCGCGCTCAGATTGCGCAGAAAAATGGACAATTTCGAAATGGACGATACGATTACGCGTGTCATACCTTTTTTCGTTGACTAAAACAATGAAAATATAATAGAAAGAAATTATAATATAAACGACATTCGGATCATATTGTTTGTAATTACGTTATACACGTATTAACCACAAGTTTAGCTCCCGAAATTCGTTCTTTTCGTCGATCATATTCTCCTTTTTGCAAATAAAATTCACCCCCTCGCATCATTTCGTAACGAACCTAATATTAAATATAAAAATTGAATAAAACACAGCCACGATTCTGTTCCACAAAAGGGTAAAATTTACTAGCAGAAGGGTTGATTCGATATTCATCAAAGCGAACCCTCAAAAGCACAGAAGAATAGCAGAATAATGCAAAAGTATTAATTTAGAATATTGCAATTATTATAATAATATAATATACTAATGAAGCATAGACGAATAATAGAATAATGCAAAAATATTAATTCAGAATATAACAATCATTCAATATTACAATTACTAACACACATAATTATTAAATAAAAATACAATTACCCCCAAATCGTCCACTTCTCTACAAAATCTTCACAGAGAATTCAACCCTTCAGCCTCAGAAAATGAATCGAAAAGCCGCCAACACTCCAAAGCCCCTACAACAAATAAAACCGTAACAACCACAAAACGAAACAACAAACAAATTATCCACCCACAAAATCACGTCCCAAAGACGTCCCTAAATCAGCCATTTTGCCAATTCCAGTGCTGCAGCAACCGGACTCGACCAGCCCGACGATCTCGGACCTGTCGTTCGCCCCGAAGCAGGAGACGAGCCACGAGTGCAAAGAAGAGGAGTCCGTGGACTTCGAGGACGAGCAGCAGACCAGCGAGACGCAGCCCCACGAGACGGAGCACAAGAAACGGAAACGGCGAGTTCTGTTCTCGAAGGCGCAGACGTTCGAGCTGGAGCGACGTTTCCGCCAGCAGAGATACCTGAGCGCGCCGGAGCGGGAGCATCTCGCGTCGATAATCCGGCTGACGCCGACCCAGGTGAAGATCTGGTTCCAGAACCACAGGTACAAGACGAAGAGGGCGGCCACCGAGCGAGTGGTCGAGGCCGGCGGCAGCGGATGCTCGCCCAGAAGAGTCGCCGTGCCTTTGCTGATCAAGGACGGCAAGCCCTGCCAGTCGAAGCTGATGGAGCCAGCCGCGTACCCTTCCACCGGCCAGGTGCCAATGCCGCCCTACATGCAGAAGCCTTACTGGTGGTAAACGCGAACCCGCCTGCGAACGGTTTGCCGACGAACCTAAACGAATCCAGGGGGTTGCACGCCGCATCTAGTCTGATCGGAGCCGGAGGACCGGCGGTCGAAAGCTTCCTGTTCCGCGCGACGTCCACTGAGCGGCTTCAGCGATGGCTCATTTCGAAGAGCAGATCGCGGGCTTGCCGAAGAGCCATGCGAGAAGACTCGCGATCTGCCTTGGCGCCGTCGGCGAGAGGAAATCCGAAGGGAAGAGAAGCTGGACTTAGCTACCGTCGACCGGGAAGTGATCGCGGAACGCTTCGAGAAAAGTTTTCGATGAGGAAAAGCTGCGGCAGACCTGGGCAACGAATTCGCCGAGGTGTCGGCTAGCGGATACCCTAAAGGATCAGCGATCGGAACTCTGAGCGACGCCAGAGTCGCGGAATCCGCGCGGATGACTCTTCCTCCGGGCGCGCGAGCGTCTTCGTGCAGCTGTTTATAAGACGTTCCGAGCAATCCCGGTGCCATAATCTGAGGAATCGGTGGTCGCCGATCGTGCTGTCGGCTTTGGCGGTTGTGTCGAGGTCGGTTATGTCAAGGTTATCGATCAGCTCGAGTCCGAAATCGCGCCGCGTTGGCTGGCGAGTCGCGAAGCTTTCGCTCGTCGACGAGCGATCGGCTGGACAATGGTTTTCCTGCTGAGAAAGGTGTCCTGCGAGCAAATTCGAAGGCGATCGGAGGTCGCAAGATGGCCGACTCGCGGCGGAAGAAGGGAGAAAATGGCGCGGGCACGCGCGAAACCAAAGATAGCTCGCGATCGTGTTGCGGCGAGCGTGTTCTCGCCGGGCGAGTTAAGTAGATAAGTGAAACGAGATATAATAGAGAGTCAGATTTAATAATTCGCTGTCGACGAGCACGAGTTTCATTTCCTGTTCCGTTTGTCCCTGTACAAAATGGCCGGCCGATGTAGCGCGCGCGCGCGCATCGAGGCCTTCGCGTTCGCGCTATCGACGCGATTTTTCGAATCGTAATCCCCGGTGAACCGCGATAGCGGAAAGAATAGACGAGCGTTCCGTTCGAGATTTGACAGTGTGCAAACGTGTTCGCGTGTCCATGTGTGCGTGTGCGCGCGCGCACGCGAGGGGGGAAGCGTGAGAGAGCGAGGGAGAAGGGTGATCGTCGCTTACGTAACTCGCTGACACCTTGCTTTCTATCAATCTAATCGCGCGATATATCGAAGATAAGAGGAAAGAACGATGAAAAACAATTTCTCTCTCTCTCTCTCTCTCTCTCTCTCTTCGAACGCGGCGAGAAATCATTTCACGGAAAATAATGTCGGCTCCCGACGATTAGGGAGCTCCGGAAAGCGTGTCGTTGGAATTTATCGATTAGGACGAAAAATTAGCAGAAACTTCGAACAGGAGAAACTTAGCGATTGTTTGTTGAATTATTCAAACAAAGCGGCACGGTCGTGTTCGAGGACCCGTTGTAATATAAAACATGGCCAGTGTTTCGCCACCCCCCGAACCCCCAACCCCCAGCCTCTGAACCCCTCCGAGTTCCTTCGCGAAACGAACGATCGTTTTGTAAAATCCTCGAAAACGCCACACGTCTCTCCTCCCGTGTTCACTTGGTTAAATCTGGTCGGAACTTGGTTTTATGATGTATAGATGATAAATCGTGGATGTAATGTGACAGTTGAACAGTCGATAGAACAGAAAATCCAGTTTATCGCCTTTAATTAGGTAGGTTGTATATATGTACATTGTGTATAATACATAGTAGTCTAATATATCAAATACATATTTAATAAAATTGAATCTTAAACTATTTTTGCTACGGTCTCGTTATTACACCCACCCTCCCCTCAACCCTCGCGGATGTTACAAAGATTGTCGTGAGATGCGACAACGAAAAAGAAAATCTCATTCGTAAAAATAAAAGTAGGCCTTTTTTCAATCGATTATTTATTTATTTATTTGTTATTAGTAGGAGTATTATTTTGGAGTTATTATTATTAATTGATTATTATTATTACTGTCATTTATTAACTATTATTATTAATTGATTACTATTAGTACTTATTAACTATTAATTGGTTATTATTAGTATTTATTAACTATTATTATTAATTGATTATTATTAGTATTTACTAACTATTATTATTAATTGATTATTATCAGTACTTATTAACTATTATTATTAATTGATTATTATTAGTACTTATTAACTATTATTACTAATTGAATATTATTACTATTATTATTTGCTAATTATAATTATTACTGGATTACTATTATGTATTTATTTTCCTTCTCATTAATTAATTTGAATTCTACTAAAAAAGTTTTTATCGACGAAGAGAGTTTCTAACTATAGTAAATAAGTCGATAATAATTCCAGCATTCGAGGATATCAGCATTTATCGCAGAATTCAGCGGAATTACAGCGTACCGTAACAGCAGATCGTACAGCAAGAATGCGCACGTTACGGTTTTGCTTTTAATACGATCAAACAATGAGCTGCAGACAAGCGCGCTCCCTCGGTCCCTTTTTATTTCTCTCCTCGACCGTTCCATAACGTTTCCCTTTTTCGGGACACGCCGGATGCCGGTGTAGCTTGAGTGACAAGCTTCCGGTTTCCGTTTCCGAGCAGCCATCTTGTTACCGGTTTAGATTTCCTGAGGGCGTCCTCCACCCAAGCCTCGATGGGGAGAGACCGCGTTTCGACCTCTGTCGAAGACTTTTCAATTATCCAGTTGATCGCGAGACAATTTCATTGTTCTTAGGACAGATCGAGGATCCACGGCGATGATTTTATTCTGCGACGGAAATTAGAATATTCTTTGCTTATCTTTATCTTTTGTTAAATTAATTGCAAGAGACAGAAGTTAAATGAAAATGTATTTCTTCTGTTAATAATTGTCGTAAATTAATAAATGTCGAAGAGGAGATGACGATGTACTTAAATTTGTTGGATCTGTTTACCATTTATTTATTCATTAAATTTATTTATAGACTTCTATGCGGCTCTGTTTTATTTGCTTTATAATTGTATTCAATATTATCATTGTAATCGAAGGTATTAGTGAAGCTTAAATGATTAAATGAATAAAGAAAATTGAGGCAACTGAGAGAATAAATAAATATTAAAATTCGATATGTTTCATTATTTCGTTCGTTGATAAAATAATTAATTCAATATGTATTGAAAATTTCATTTACCTTTAGAAATGTTTAAACTATATATATGCATACGTGGAGTTACTAATAATATAATATAAATAATATAGTATAAATATATAATATAATATATATATAATAATAATAATATAATATAAATAATAATAATATAATATAAATAATAATAATATAATATATGGATAATAATATAATATAAATAATTGCCTCACGATGGCAGAAGCGAGGGAATTACTTGTAATCGCGCTGCGACTCTCGAAGAGCTGAAAAGGTAGCCGCGGCGATAATTCCGACGACATAATTCAGATACGGATTGATTAATGTTTCCACGTGGTCGCGCAAAAATGCCACGAGCACAAATGTCCGCGAACGAATTGACGGCTACGTAATACGCGCAATCTGATTCGATCGGCGATAATTCGTTGATCGCGGGGAAGAAAGCATTACCGATAACGACGATGTTTGCGGGGAAATATGTTCGATCGCGTAAACTCGGTGTCTTTATTCTCTACGTGTGGGGTCGATCGTGAATGGTGGTGCACACGGTCCGTTACTGCATATATATCGTCGGCCAATGTCGCATTCGTGTTCGAGGAACTCTGTATTCGAATAAAAAAATATAGATGAACTTTATTCGAGAAATTTTAATCGACGAATGATGGCGGCTGTTTTACAAACTGTTTTTATTAATATTCAGTTTACGATTGAAACCAGCCTAAACTAGCTTTAAACTAGATCCTTTGAATTATTGAAGAAATTTCATGATAAAATTATTATTATTTATGTTAGATTAATTCCCTTAATTATATTTATATTACTTATAAATACGAATCAATTTATATATATTCGGTGTTATTGTTGAGAATATTTATTACTACTTTATTAGCTTTTAATATGATATATTATTATTATTATTAAAATTATTATTATTAAAAAACAGCGACCAATAAGAATCGAGTACGGCTGACGCGAGGCGGCCCAGCCAACCGGCGCGCGGCGCCCAGTTCCGCTCGTTGACTCGGTCGCCTTGCACCAGCCGCGCTCGCCTCTCATTGGTCGCTGTTTTTCGTTGATAACTCGTTAACGGTGCCTCGGAGAGCATTTTTCTAAAGGAAAAAGTTGCTTCGAACGACCCGAGGAACCCGCCACGTTCGAATTGCGAGACATTTTCGGGACACCCTGTGTATATGCGACGGTGGCCCGAATGACCAAGAACGATTTCGACGTTGTCGCGGCAACGATTCCGCGACGGATCGTCCCTCTATCCGTCGATCCCTTTCGCGGCAGTTATCTTGGACCGGGGGTCGAGAGACGGGTAACGAGAGAGATGACGTAGCGAGGTAAATGGAGTGGACAGCGGGCAGCATATGCTTTGTGCCGGGTTCTTGTATAAAACGAAACCACCCCACGCGGAATATACGGAGCGGAGAGCGCGCGAGCCGCAACGCCGCGCGACGTCGCGGTGCGTCGAACCGGAAGCGCGAGATAACATTCAGCCGGCTAGCGGGCCGACCCGTGATTTATATGACCGGCCGTAATCTATAGAGAGATTTGGACCCGTATAGTCCGACCAGTTTCAGCTTTCAGGGTTCTTCTTCTCGCCGGCCCGGGCCGAGCGAGCAAGGAAACGAGCTTGGTCGACGGATGGACCGACGTTCGACGCTCGGCTCGGCGGGACTTTTCGCCTCGAGGAACCGAGTGACGGAAACGATTCGATGTAGGCGGAATTCTTCGCCGACAATTGGATCGTAACAATTGCTTCTTGGAGAGAGAGTTAGGCTCCGATATAATAGGAGTTTCTGACAGACGAATGGCTGCAACGCGACGAAAATTTTTCGCGACCCTTGTTTCCGACACGATTCTTTTTCTCGCGTGTCGCGATATTTATAGTACATTTCCTCTAATTGACGATGAGATTGTTCATTTTTTGGCACTATCTGAGCGTCTATTAGGGAGAAATTAGTGTGTGTGGAATACTTTGCGTAAAAGGGGTAAGCGGAGTTTGTAAATAAAAGGTTAAATTATTTGGGACTGAAAAGTGAATTTTGATAATAATTAAAAGTCAGATTAGTTGGAAAGATTTGTCAGTCGGTGATGAAGGCTATAGTATAATATTTATTATTATAGTATAATATTTATTATTATAGTATAGTATAATATTTATTATTATAGCATAGTATAATATTTATTATTATAGTATAATATAATATTCACAAGCTCCCGGAAAATTCAGACAAATTTACCACACTATAGTACATCTCGAAAATCGCGTATTCAGCGATCGAGGGCTCGAAAGGGCTCGCATAGGCGTCCGTGTGCGCCTCTAGGAACGAGTTCAAGGACAGCGGAGAAGCTGTCGCCGGCGGGACGAGAAAGGGACAGGGTCCGGCCGCGGCGGTCCCAATCAATGAAAGAAATAAATTGATAGTTTGTCGAACGGCGGGACGTCCCCTAATATTTCCGAATGTAATCGAGGGGGTGTACACGCACTTCGTGATCTAAGGAAAAAAGAAAAAAAATAGGAGAGAGAGAACGGTTCGGGGCGAAAGGAAGCGCGCGGCCGGAGAAGAGCGACGGCGAAACGAGGAACGGACGGAGAGGGTAGCCGGGGGGGGGGGGTAGAGAAAAAAAAAGAAAAAAGTTCGACAATGCAGTTACGGGTCAGAGCGGAGAGGGTGAGTGGACGACACCCGTGTTCCGGGGGTGTTTTATTGGCTGGTTTCCGTGGGGTGGAAATTCTCTGTAATGTACGAGATGTTTGCGTGGTCTCTTTTAACCCTCTGCCGCTTGCATACGTTACCGGGAGACTGTTTTCGGCTGGCCTCGTCCCTTATGGAGCATTCCGGAACGTATCCGCGAGAGCCTGGCTTGCCGATTTCTGTGCCGGTTGATTACCAAGCCACGGCTCGTTTCTCCTTAATTCGCGATATAACGCGAATGGTCTGCGAAATCGAACAGGAAAATTCGACGGAATTTACTGTGTTCTCGCGAGAAAGTGCTGTGTAGTCGCCTATTCCTTTAGTTAGTTTATTCATTTTGTTTTATTTATTATTTTATTTATTATTTTATTTCATTTTATTTCATTTTATTCAATTTATGTAATTGTATTCAATTCTATTCAATTCTATTCAATTCTATTCAATTGTATTCAATTGTATTCAATTCTATTCGACTCTATTCGATTCTATTCAATTGTATTCAATTCTATTCAATTGTATTCAATTGTATTCAATTGTATTCAATTCTATTCAATTCTATTCAATTCTATTCGACTCTATTCGATTCTATTCAATTGTATTCAATTCTATTCAATTGTATTCAATTGTATTCAATTGTATTCAATTCTATTCAATTCTATTCAATTCTATTCGACTCTATTCGATCCTATTCGATTCTATTCGATTCTATTCAATTCTATTCGATTCTATTCAATTCTATTCAATTCTATTCAATTCTATTCAATTCTATTCAATTCTATTCAATTCGATTCAATCCGATTCAAAATTCTATTGAATTGTATTCAATTTATTATTTTATTTTACTTATCATAACATAGTTACGTAGTTATGTATTCACATATCTATACATATATTCACGCAACCACTGTTACACATACGATGCAATTGCTATA